GATGGTGGCACCATGCATAAGCTTGAACCTGTGCCTCCTCCATCTTTTATATCAGAATCATGTGCCCTTCTTGAACTCGAAAATCACTGGGCGAGGAGCTTTGATGAATCTAATTGAGTGCAGCACCGATTGGTCTCACTGGCCATTCGCCTCCTCCATATGTGTGATGGTGTCCCTGCTCTCTTCCTATAGCTTGCAGTGGCCATGGTCCTCCTGAAAAAGTAAAATTTTACTCACATTCTGGAAAAGTGTTATCACCACTCTTTTGTGGCATGGAATTCACAACCGTCCCAGAAATTGCCAAGCCTTTCCCTTTGGTCAATAATGTTGGCTCTTGTTCTAAGTCAGCTCTCATTAATAGACCTGCACTCAAACGTTCTTCAGCAGATGGGTCAGTTTGCTCTTGTTCTTCCACCTTAGTTGTGGTCGCTGCTTTCAACACTGCTGCCGTGGTTTCCAGAGCTTCTTTTTGTTGTTTTGAAGTTTCTTGGAGAGCTTTAATGTCGGACTGCACCGGGTCCAACATTGTGTTGAAATCTTATCGTATAACCTCCATCTTCTCCATCAGTTTGGCAAGCTGCACTAACATTAGATCACTATCTCTCATTGGATTGTGTGTCTCAGATACCAAATTAATATGAGCCTGACCTTCAGCTTGAGCCTTAAGCTAGGCTTGCGTTAATCTAGTAGTTGGAGACAGATGCTTCCTCTTGGGAGCTGTGGTTTAATGTGAAGAAGAGAAGAGGGATTTAGCTAAGCTTCCTTTAACCCTAGTCTTTCTTTGAGAATAAGGTTAATTGTTCGAAGTTGATTTCTCATTAATCATAAAAAAAATTTATGTAGGCCACAACAACTTTAAATCATAAACCTAATGCTAAAAAGAAAACACTTTAATATGATGTAAAAATAAAAACCCAAAACTATTAATCGTATCATAAAGCTTCTGGACATAAGCGATTATACTGCATCCACAGGATCCGAGTTGAATCTGGAGACTAGAGCTTTTTGGTGCATCATAAATTATTGATAATACATTGTTCCCGCAATTGCTTCCATGATTGATGAGCGATCTAGTTGTTTCCTACTCTACATTATTCATGATGGGAACGAATTTCTAGGGGTTAAGAATTAACGCATCTGCTGATATCTCTGAGAAAAAAAGCAAATGTACTGTTAAACAAATGTTTTTGAAGGTTATCCGCAAGATGATGTTAGTTATCATAGCAGTGACATCTATGATATGATTGTAGAGAAAATTCTCTTGCAATGCAACGCTAGTCACTAATGCTATTAGACAAATAAGATGGATAGTGTGAAAGTTACCAACCTCAATTCTGAGATTTTAAATCACCAATCTCGTTCTTGATACGATGATACTGAGCCATGCAAGCTGTGGAACATAGGGCAGCTTTAGTTTCGAGCCAGAGATTTTTGTACAAGAGAGATTCCAAGTGGGTCTCTTCACCATCAGAAAAGTTGGAAGCGAGTATTAAGGAATATATCATCCCACATCGAAAGTTGGAAGGGATCTTAAGTACTATATAAGGAATATAGGCTAATCCACTCATTGCCAATTAGTTTTGTGTTAGAAGTCCATGTAACTTAACATAGTATCAAAGCCTGATCTTCACAATCCAACCCGATTCGACCTAAAGTTGGTCCAATCATCAACCAGGTTCGAGATTGGTGCCGTTGATCCAAACCCGAACATATCAAGATCAATGGTCAAAGTAACTATGAGAACGTATTAGTGAATATAACACACATTAGAAATTAGAAGGAAACTTAAATAATATATAAGGAATATGAACCAATCCAATTATTGCTAATTGATTTTGAATTGAAAATTTATATAAAAATACTCTGCAATGTTAAGATTCAGTAAATAACAGTTTGCGCAATAGTAAAATATTAATATGTAAGTAAATACCTGAGTCATCTCATCCTTATTTACCGGTTCTTTGAAGCCAAAGCTGTCCAGTGGCTTGATATTAATCCTTGAACGTTTTTAGCAACTACATTTGAGAGCTGAAAAGGGTACCGTCAAGAATCTAAAAGCAAACAAGAACAAGCAATTTATATCAATAAATTGATTGGCTCTACACATGACGAGGAGAGATCAAAATTGTGTCTACTTTGATGTTTATCTCTGAAAAGTTATCCTGATAGTTAAATCGGCTTTAGAATTTTCATTTGTCACGTTTCAGTACATGTTAGCTTGATATTCTAATGATCTTGTATGACCGAAAGGAGAATGAGTTTACGGTGTATTGGATAATTGGTTCTGATTGCTTTTTCGTTTAACACATTGATTTTTTTTTTCTAAGAATTTCTCGGAGAGGCAACGCTTAAACTTGACGCCTACCTATAACTCAGCTACTTCATCTACAATGTCTTCTTTAGCAGACATGCTAATCAGAAATTCTCAAAAACCATTCTATAAGCCTATCACGCCTTCTGGTGTTTTATGCTTCTAGCAATGCTTTTGATGAAAATCGTCCCGAACATTACATTACCAACCTGATTATGATAAACATGAAAGTACGAATGATGTCCCTGGTCCTCCTGTGGAGCCTTACTTGCGTGTCACCGATAGTATTCCATCTTACGTACGTATGGTCGTATGGACCTCGACAATGCTGATTTGCCTTGAGGATCAAGTAACCAGGAAAATTTCGTCAAACACATTGTGCTCAAAGCTTTAAAACCTGTTGCTATGGAATCAAATTTGTTTAAGGAACAAGAAATCTCTAAACTCATCTTTCTGTTTAGTGATATCAGAAACTGGCAAGTGGGAAGCTTACCTACACAACTCAATAGTTCAGAACAAAACAGATTCTAGAGATGATTAAGGAGCCCCTTTTTGGAAGTTGAAAAATGAAAAGGGGGCTCATTAAAAAAATAACTGAATAGTTGACGAAATTTTGTTTGGTCGCCAACCATTTACGATTCTAGAACGCAACGCAATATAGTAGCAGCCCACAACATAAATTATTGAACAATTTCCATAATTACACTAAAAACAAGTTTTGAGGACAAATATAACAGGGAAGTTAAAACTTTTCCACACCTAACATTTTTCATTTGAGTTTTCCGATTTTGCCCTTTAGAAAAGTTTTCCTAAATATTTTTTTTCCTGTTAATGTTTCAGAGATTTTTTATAAAGTTCTTCCAAATACTAGAATTTAACATCGTTTCATATGATTTAGGTAAGATTTCTTAAATTTTTTTAAAAAACATGAACTATGGAAGGACTTCCTGAATTGTGGAAAAGTTTCATGAATTGTGGAAATGTATCTTGGAAGGGCTTCCTGAATTTGAATTGTATAAATTAAAAAAAAATCAATTATACGATTTACGAAAACATTCCTAAATACATGTAATGGCTTCCTTAATTTATATATTTTATGAAAGTCTTCATAAAATTTAGAATATCTTCCTAAATTTACTTTCATCTCCTTCCTCACCTCTGCGACAACCAAACCCTAATTTCTGCCGATTTTTTTTTTCCACCATTGTTGTTGTTTTAGCTCGGGTTTCTTGAGCCTTTCATCCAATTATATCAGATCTATCTTCTAATATATGATTTTGAGCTTTAAATCTCGAAAATACTTTCCCATAAGAAAAATCCCAAAAATCTAAAATATTCATAATCACAAACCACATTCAAACAGAATAACGATCCTAAACAAAGATGAATTCAATCGTCATCGGCGGCGGCGACTCGTCGGCGTGAAGAATCCCAGCAACTCGTCGGCGTGAAGAATCCCGATTCAAAAGTGGATGAAGACGAAGAAGGAGATCGTGATTTAAATTAGTGAATTCAAAATGATCAGCTTAAAAACAGATTTTTAGTGTTAATTAATTGAAGGTATTACTGTCATTCTTTCTTATAAAATATTAGGGGTGAAAATAGTTTAGCATGTGGTTTAGTTTTGGAACAGAAACTAATTTTCAAGGTATTTGAAAGAATTTCTCTAAATTATTTACTTATTTTATAATTTATAGGCTTTTTTTGTTTACAAAACTTTACGTAGCTTACTATACTACTAGAGCATAAAGAATCAAACAGTGCAAGGTCAAAACTTTAGAACAGAGTATGATTTTTCTTATACTCGGGGTGTTATTCAATTATTGATATGTATAGTTAGATTTTTAAGTTTTACAATCTTCAAGATTTGAAAGTAAACTATATTTGGATTCCAAATCTTTGGAGTATATATTTTTGGATTTTAACAGCTCGGCTAAGAATATATGTATATTTGGATCCTAAAATCGTATAGCTTGGATTTTGTTTTTAATAATTTATTCATAAAATATTATGGGAATTCATTTCAAATAATTTAATATATGAAGATTTTAAAATTTATTGAATATTGAATAACACTGATTTTATAACAAAACATTTGACATTTTCAGTAAATAACACCAAATTTGAAAATCTTATAAGAATGATCAAAAATATTCAATAACACTGGATTTTAAGACATAATTTAGAATCAATAATTGAATAACAGTAGATTGTGATTAAATTAAAATTTTATTAAAATTCATGATTTAATAACACTATCTAACAATCTCAACTGGTATTTTATGTTGGTGCCATATTATAAAAGAAATCCACAGACCAATTGCTTTATCTATAAAAAAAATTATTCTATCAATAAATCATTTCTTCAATTAAAATAATTAGTGAATTTTGTTTTACGAGGAAAAAAAAGGTATAAAGCAAATGACTATAATCCATTAAAAAAAAAAAAATAACTCTGCTAAAACCGTAAGCTAATATTGACAACCATACAAATTCGAAAATTTCTTGAAAGGCTGCTGAAATTGGTCCAATATTATTGAGGAATAGTGAATAAGAAGGGTAGGTTTGAAAAAGACAATAACTTTTGCCATGCTCCATGTTTTTAGTCTCTGTTCTTCTTCATGACTTTAATTTACTAATTTAGTTTAGGTATTTCTGTTGGGAAAGCCGCGGGAAGGAGAAAAGGTGTATGAAACAAAAAAAGGAGATCGTTGCTGTTTTCAACGACGACGAGGTCTCCTCTCTCCTCCTCTATATTACAAGTTCATCTCCTCTTTTCCCAGATCATCATCATCATCGTTATCATCATCATTCTCTGTCTCTCTTTAGATTTTTGGTATCAGATTCAAGATCCTCTGTTTTAATTTCGATAATGGCAACGGTAAGAACAATATTCATTATCTCCTTTGCTTAAACATCGAGAATTATGAGCCATCTTGTAATTGTTGATTTGGTTTCAAAATTTCCTCTTTTCCTACAATCTTTCTGATCAATTCCTATCTTGACAAAAAAAAAGTCTCAAACTTTTCCCAATAAAAGAGAGGCAAAGTTTCAGAATTCCGCATTTTGATGATGAACAACTCTGTTTTTATTTTTTATTTTTGTGTGTGGAGGGATGTGTAGGGAAATAAAGGGAGACAATTGCCAAAATTTGGGGACTGGGACGCGAGTGATCCAGCTTCAGCACAAGGATTCACTGTAATTTTCAACAATGCTCGTGACGACAAGAAGACGAAGAAAACCGCTGTCGCAGGACCTGAGAGTCTTGTTTCACCGGCTCCGATAAACGATCAACCTCGTCAGAACAACAACCATCATCATAACAACCGTAAATCCCAAACACCACAGGCAAAAGTACCTGTACGTTCTTTTTTTCTTCTTCTTTCCAGATAACAGACCCAAACCCCAATCTTGACTACTCACAGATATTACGTTTTTTTTGTTTGCAGAAGAAATGGCTTTGTTTCCGTTAACTCTGGTTCGGGCTCTGTTTTGAAGAACCCAATGATAAGGAAGCAGAATCGGTGAGCAGAGTCATCTCCAACAAATGACAACGATCAAAACCTTTGTTCGTAGAAGATGTTGTTGCATACTCTTCTTCTTCTTCTTCTTCTTCTTCTTTTTGCTCGTTGAGTTTCTCTTTTCAACTCTGTTTTGGCCATATTTGGGTTTATAAATATACACACATTGTTATTGCTGCTTCTTGGTTTTATTATTCAAAAGATTGAGACATGTCATAGTTCATAAGGGAGAACATAAAAGAAACAGGCAGGCTCCATTAAACCTCAAGAGTCACAAAAGTTCCTTAGGTGAAAATCTGTCAAATGCACTGAGGACAGGCTTGCCACATAGATATTCTTTAGAGAGCATAAGTTACCTAAACCGTTTCGTAACGAAAATTCAAACACTAGATAGAGACCAAATGTAAGCTCCTCAATGTTTGGTGTCAATTGCAACCGTCACTTTCGAGGTTCTACTGCGACAAGGGAGCTTCCATCGAATATGGTAGCTGGATGGAATGGTCAAATCTACAAGCTGGACCGAATTTGCAGATGCCGTACCGGCTGTAATGTGTGCAGATGTTTTGATCCTGAAGTTACAGTTAAGCAAAAAGTCAAAGAGTTCATCAAAACATTCAAGAACTGGAAAACATCAAATGAGAAAAGACAACTTGTAAAAGCCCACAACTTTCTGATTGATACCAACACATAAGAACATAAACAGAAGGAAAAACAAGGAACTTACAGGTCTAAGGGGCAAGCCCTTGTCATTGAGAGCGTAAGGAGCCTGTTTCGGCAATCGATTCTTAGGATGATGGTATCTGCAATTGAATCTGAACTTACAGTCCCCAGTTTTAAGATAATAACTGCACTCAGGCTGATCTGGACGTTCTGGAAATTCCTCAGCAGGCGTTTGGTATTTGTACTGTGAGAATACACTTGTTTCAGCTGATGATGAATTGTTCGTATGGTGTGTGGTGGAGGGAGAAAACACACCCCTTTCTGATGAATACACAGAAGCCTAGACAAATACGAATGACATATAAAAAACATTCTAGACATTTCAGATAGAAAATAGATATTAACTAAGAATCCACAGCTGAAAAACTTACTACCTGATAGCCATTCCACTCTGGAGTTTGAGATGGAACTCCACGGCTCTGTGATAACATGGAAGGAATAAAAGGAGCCGTACCATTCCTGGGTGAAGACCATGAAGTTGAACTTGCTTGGAGTGTGGTCTTAGGGGAAAAAGATCCAATGGACCCACCGTTAAACGATGGAGATTCGGTTCCTCCAAGCGTTGTGAGATCAGGATGATTGAATTTGCACTCAGCTCCATACTTGCAGGAGCCAGTGCGCATGTAGTAAGGGCACTCTATCTCTCCCTGTCAATGAGATGTTGCATCATTATACAGCTTTTGACAAGACTTAGAAAACAGAATGTAACACAAAAACCAATTAAAAATGGAGTACCGGTCTGATAGGAAGGCCGAGGAAGTTAAGCTCCGGTTCTGAGGGTAGACAAGACTTTGATTTTGTGTGGTTGAATTTACAAGTTTCTCCGTATTTGCAGCCTCCGGTCCTGAAGAAATACTGCAAGCCTCATACAAGCACTGAATATCAGTTATGTTCGCTTGAGAATACGTCCATGAAGACAACTAGATATACAACGAGAGCATGTGACAAGGTTAAAGGATAAGAAGAAGAAGAAAAAACCTTGCAATCCACCAGCTTATCAGCATGATCTTCCTTTTCTCTTACTTCAACGATCTTCAAAGCATAAGTAAACGAAACAAAGAACATAGATTGGTTTGGTTTGGTTTCATCAGAAGCGAAACAGATATACTAAAACCTTTGTGGTCCACTGATTATATATATTTGGCCATTAAAAAAAATTATGTTACTTAATAAACAAATCTTCCCAAAGATCAATAAAAACAAAAACATCCTTGTAAGAAGAATAGCGTGTAAAAGAATACAAATCAGAATGAGAAAGAGTACAAGTGAGAGTTACTTGGGTTTTTCTTGGATTTGGAAGAGGATGATTGAATTTGCAAATGGATCCGTATTTGCAGCTCCCTGTTTTCATATAAAACGCACAGTCCTCTGCCCATGGCCTCAATGGATATTCAGCTTCTCTCTTCTCACTCTCACTCTCGCTCCCACCATCTCCATCTCCTTCTTCCTCCTGATTCCTGTCTACGGCTTTCGATTCAACACCTCTATTACCCTCAGAGACACTAATCATCGTCACGCTCTGCTCTTTAGCAACTTCACCAAAACCCACGTTCTCAAACTCTTCTATTAACTCGTTCAGAAGATGGAGATCAGAAGGAGATCGATCAGCAGATGAATCCCCTGAGGAAGATCGAGACGCAGGTTCCGGCTCGAACCCGTCTGCATTTGACCCGGAGATTACTTCGGAATTAACCATTTCTCACAATCACATTCACAAAACCCTAATTCCAGGGAAGAAGAAGATCAAAGGGTGAATATATGAAGAAGACGAAGAAGAAAGAGAGAGAGAGTAATAAAGTTGCTAGCTTTTATTTATTTTATTCCCTTGACGGATTCTCTTTTTTCTATTGGTCTTTATAATGATATACAATCGTCACGAATGAGACTCCCAAAGAAACCGTTGCTTTTACTATTTGACAAGTTCCAATACATATTCAAAGATTTTATGCGTTTCAGATATTTTCCCACCAAAATTGCAATCAAGCCCTCACAATATTTACAGAATTCAAGATTAACACTTGAGTTTTTCTAATCGCAGAATCGCAAAAATTGTTATGGATTTCTTTAGTTAAAAAAAAAAAAACACATTGTTATGGATTTAACATTGTTTGTTAATATAATATAAATGATAAAATCAAAATCAAAAGTTAAAGATTTCACAAAAGAAAACTAGTTCATATGCAAAACAAATTAGACATAGAAAAATATTACTCCCTACTTTTTTGTTTTAAATACCGTTTTATTTTTTTTTGTATAAAAAAAATTGTTGTTTACAAGTTTTAATATAACTTTTGTAATGTAGTTCCAAATATATCCTTAATTAAACTAACACAATATCTAACCATTAAAACAACTAAATATAATTTGTAAGGTTAATATAGTCTATTTATAAAAATTCTTAATCTATGTGCAATCAACTAAAACGTCACTTAAATAAAAACAGAGATAGTATACAAAAAGAAAAACATAATATAATTATTACCTTGTTAATTATTATCTATAATACTGAACTACCATATACACATAATATATATATATATGTTATGTATATATATTAAATGAAATAATATTAACTTATCATTTATAATATGTACTATATATAAAGTTGGATGCATCAAAATTAGTAATTCATATAATTGTTAAACATGGTGAATAATTCAATTCAGATTTTGACATGTGTCGCGGTTAAATTAAAAATAAATATATATATAAATATCACAATTGTTGAAAATAATATATATATATATAACCACTACAATATATCTAAAAAAATAAGAAATAACTTAAAAATAATAATATGTTTCAACTAAGAAAAGAAAACTTTTTATAAAAAAAAAATTAAAAACTAATCCCAAAAGAAAAAGAAAAAGAAAAATATTATTTCATCTTTATAACATATAAAAACTCTTATAATTTTTCTTTTATACTAGAATTAAACTGATGAATCATTGAAAAACAATCAGAACTACGGAAGCAAAATAAAGGAGAAAACCATAATTTTTCTTTGAAATATATAGCAAATTTTATATGTTAATAATTCACATGATCGTGACTCATGTCAACTTTTTCGATTAAGATTTTGACACGTACGCGATTAAATTAAAAATAAAACATAAATTAAAGAAATATCATAATTAATAATAAAAAATTTATTAAAACTAATGAAGCGACCAAAAACAATCAGAACTATGGAAGCAAAATGAAGTAGAAAGCCGATTTATCTATGTTGCCATTTTACCAAATGAGATTTTCAGTGAGAGTTTGTTAGAGAAAGATTATATTTGAAAAAATGTAAAAGTAAATACGGGATAAAAGAGAAAGTCAATTTCTTTAATCAGTTTTCTTATAAGTAGTTTTGCAAAAATGGTCTCAATCTTATTTTTTATGTTCACATTAATCTAATTTTGTTTTATACTTTTTTATATTTATTCATATTTGTAAAAAATATAAAAGCAAATATGTAATGAAGGAGAAAACAAGTTTCTTTAATCAGTTCTATTATAAGTGGTTTTACGAAAATCTTCTCAAACTTATTTTTTTTAATGTTCACAATGATCTAAATTTATTTTTTACTTTTTCATGTTAGTCATATTTGTGAAAATATAAAAGTAAACATCGAACGAAGGAGAAAACTATTTTTTTAATCAGTTCTATTATAAGTGGTTTTGCGAAAATGTTCACAATCTTACTTTTTAATGTTACAATGATCTAATTTTGTTTTTTACTTTTTCGTATTCAGTTTCTTTTTTAACGGGTTATGTAATAGTTAATATTAATCAATGTATATAGAGATCAAAGTCTAAGTTGATCACCTAATCAAAATTTACTACGTGTAATAAACATTTTGAACTACCAAAACATTCGAATATGAATACAGAAATATATATAAATAAAACTATTTATTTTTGTTTTCAATTTGTTATTTACAAGTTTTAAAATAATTTCAAAACTTGTGTATACACGGATTAGTTTCTATATATTTGAACACCAAAACAGATTGGTCTCTTATCTTTTATGATATAACAATAATTATAAGGCACAAAACTAAAAAAATCAACTTCCACAAACGTTACTAATTAATTAGGTGTAGGAAAATGAAAAGCTCATTGTTTTGTCAGCCACGAAACAGCACGTAGAAGTGCAGCATTCTCTTCTCTTTTAAAGTAAATTGCATCCACTTTGGCTATCCATACACGTAACTGATTACATTTAGTAATTAGTTCACGGTATACTTCAACGTCACGATAATACTTCATATTAGGTCCGCGATTAAGACACGACATCATTGTTCTTTGTCTTTGTCTTTGGTGTACATCAGGCACGAATGTAAAGACCTTCTCTTCATTAAACTTCAAAAATTGGGCGTTATAATCGATTGTATTGTTTGTGGGTGTGCCTTCTTTGTTATAAGTAGTGTTTGTGAGTTTACAATGACATAGGATACGATGTCCAGGAGTTAGTTGGTTCTGAACTTTTATAACATTTGGTTGACAAGCTTCATTCATTCCAGAATATGTAGCAATAACCAACAAAAAAATTACCAGATGATTCATTTTTGCTAACTAGAAGATAATTTCTGGATAAAAGAAGCCAATAATGTCCAATATTTATCGTTATTGTGGGTGTGACAAAAAAAGAACTACGTATTTCTATTTATAAAAGACTAGGTATTTACCGCCGCTATGCTGCGGGATATTTTTCTAAATTTGTATATATTTTTAATATAATAAAATTATTTATATATTTTAAATGAGTATTATATTTATTTTTTATTAGCTTAAGTTATGTATTTATATGTTTTAAATCTGAATAAACATTGTATATTATTAATTTTTTTATTTTTAAAAATTATAATCTACTATCAAATTTGTTTAGCTAACTATCTATAAATGTATATGTAAGAATAAAACAATACATTTTTAAGTACCTTCAAGCTAATGGTAGATGTAATTTATTTACTCTACTAAATTGCTACTTGATCCTCCTTTCAAATTATATAAGCAAATTGCCATTTAAAAAAAACTAATTAATATGATTATTTTAAATTATAAAATTTATTTATTTATAAAATATTTATTATAGACATATGTTTCTAAAACTATCAAACTATAATCAATAACATTCATATCAAAATCATTACTATTACTTTAGAACTAAATAGAAAGTTCTATTTGAACTGTTGAAATATCAATTTAGTTGAAGTTAAATAATTCAATATTGGTTACTATAAACATATTATAACTTGAAAATTTAGCACAGAAAAAATTTATCTTTTAACAAAAACTGAGAAATTGCATTTTCCGCCAAAACCAAAAAAAAAAAACATTTTCTCGTCAAACATGAAATTTCACTTTCCTACCAAAACAAAGAAATTGCATTTTCCCTCAAAAACAAAAAATCACACTTTCCCGCAAAAATCTGTGTTTTTCCGTCAAAACAGAGAAATCAAGTTTTTTCACCAAAACAAAAAAATTTCATCTTCCTGCAAAAACAAAAAATAGTATTTTTCCGTCAAAACCAAAAAATTATTTTCCCGCAAAAATCGAGAAATCGTCTATTTCCACCAAAACAAACTAAAAATTATTTTTCTCGTCAAATCAAGAATCATGCCTTCCTACCAAAACCGATAAACTACAATTTTCCGCAAAAACTAAAAATTGCATCATCTCCTGAGAAATTACGTTTCCCACGAAAATTCTGAAATCATATTTTCCCTTGAAAACCAAAAATCAAATTATATGTCAAAAACTGAAAATTTGCATTTCCTATCAAAACCAAGAAATTGTTTATTCCCGCCAAAATCGAGAAATTTTGCTTTTCTATCAACCTGAGAAATTGCATTTTTTGCCAAAATTGTCAAATTACAATTTTCCGTAAAAATCAAGAAATTACATTATCCACCAAAAACAGAAAAATTGCATTTTCTATCAAAACCGAGAAATCATATTTTTCGTCAAAATTAAAAAGTTGCATTTTCCTCGCATTTTCTCGTCAAAATCAAATTTTTTATTTCTCACTAAAACCAAAAATTCACATTTTGCCGCCAAACCCGAGAATTTGCTTTTTTCCGCCATAACCGAGAAACTATGTTTTCCTACCAAAATTGAAAATCACATTTTTCTACCGAAACCAAGAAATTCTCTATTTTCGCCAAACTCAAGAAAATTTGTTCTCGGTAACCAGTGGAAATGCGAATCTCCAAGCTGTGGTGGTCTGAGTTTCTCCTCATTTGCTTTTGCTTTCCATTTTTTTTTGTAAACTTTGGGCTTTTTAATGGGTCAGCAAAATAGTAAATTGATTTTATTAGCGTGTTAATAATATGTATTATTGTTATGTTTTTATTGGTTCAAATTTTTGCTGATGTGTGAGCTTCTTATAGCATAACGCTTTTTGCATTGTTGTTATGGAAGCATAAAAATTTTAATATAGCATAACGCTTTTTGCTGATGATGAGTCTAACGCTTTTTACAGCATAACGCTTTTTGCTGATGATGAGTCTACAATTTCTTCAATCATATACGTCTCTATCAAGAAAACACATAGTTAAAAATTTTAATTTTTTTTGCTGTTATTTATTATTTGAGTTTCGGTTTGGCAAAAATATAAAACAAAGATTTAATTTTATTATTTGTTGTTATTTACTATTTGGGTTTGTTAAAAAAATAAAAGAAATTTTTTTTATTTGCTGTTGTTTATTATTTGAGCTTGGGTTTGACCAAAAAAATAAAATTAAAATTAACAATAAAAAATATTTGAGTTTTTAATAGGTTTAAATTTAAAAGTTAAAATAAATTGATGACTTGTATTAATGAAATATTTTTATTGGTGTTTTTTTTTTGCTGAAGTGTCATCTCCTAAAAGCTTGAAAATATTGATGTGTCAAGCCATGGAGAGACTTATGGGTTATTGTTGTGTTGATTCTATTTATGGTATTAGCTAAATTTAAAATTAAATGTGAACCAATTAGAACTCCAGGTTGAATACAAGTTTATTGTGAAAAAATATGATTAACCAATAAGACCAAGCCAAATGAACTGACATTTGATGATGGTTCACCACTAAAAAAAAACTAAAAATATCAGATTTTAAAGAAATCGGTCAAAACCTATCCAAATTAGAACTACTAGCTATATACCCGCGCGATGCTGCAGGATTTTTTATAGTTTATTTTATTAATTTATATCACATTCTAATAAATGAAAATAGATACAGAAATAAATAGTTTAACTAAAATTTAATTATATATAATTAATAAAATTTTAATATTTTTAATATTATTATTATTATTATTATTACTTTTGTACAATGATATAAGATTTTGAAAACAATTATTATTTTAAACAAAATCAAATAAGAATGTAATTATATTTTTTGTTTAATTTACATTTCTTTCCAACTCTCTAACATCGTCTAATTTTTTTATACACTATTAAAAATGTATCTATTTATTTTTTAAGTTTTTTTTTAATTTGAATACATCATTTATTCATAAAACCTCACTCAAAGCTAACATGTTATCTATTTATATTTGAATTTGTTTACATTTACTTTCTTTTACTCACAGTATATTCTTCAAAATTATATTATTTTTAATGAATATAATTTAGCTGCTCTCCTTACTAATTCTTCTATGAATATCACATTTCTTTCTCAGTCTCTGTATTTCTATTCGATCATTGGTATAACTCACTATCTTTTAATCATCTATGATATCATTCTTAACTAAATAGCCATGTAATTTGTTTATCTTAGTATTACATTGAGTGCAAAATGAGTTTGGTTATCTTTGACTTATCTTTCTTGTCTCAATTTTCGTTAATCTATTCTACTAAACCCTTCTTATAAAACTTATGTTTCTATTATTTTTATTCTTATAAATAATCATGTCACTCTCTTTTTTAGACAAAATCATGTCTCTCTTACTTTCAAAAATGATAATAAATCAATTGTCATACTTAGCTATTCATTTTTCTTATCTTTTAGTATTTTCAGTCATTATCATCTAACGTTCATTTTTCTTCTACCAATTTTCAAATTTTGCTTTTTTTGGTGCTCTTTAACTTCGGTTACAATTGTAAATTTTTAATGAATTTCTAATAAAAAATAATAATTTTCTTTCAATATTTTCAACAAATTTCCATCAAAATTGTACTATTTTATTTCTATTTCAAATGATATATACATATTTTTCGATGAGTTAACTTTTTCTAAAGTTTGCTCCATTTCCTTGAAATTTTATTTAATCAAATTATTTTTAAAGTTACAAAATTGACATTCTCTGAAAGCGGTGTCGATAAGCAAAATGTTCTAAATCGGCTAACTTGTCCAAACCGACTAAACCCATGGTTTTTATTTTTTTAACGCCCGTCAATTTTTGTTTGATTTCGAAATGGTTAGAAAACGTAAGTTTATGTTCACATATATATATATATATTATAAACTGATCTTTAATATGTGAACATAAATTTAGTGAATAGGATACTATGTCCAACTTGATGAAGTTCAATCTAAGTTCTTTTACTAAAATTTAATCAACATCAAGTTTTATAAACGGTTCATTTACCAGATACGATTGTAAGCACATGGATTTTTCATTTACCAGATACAATTGTAAATATATATCCTTGATCACCTTAGGCTATGTTGAAAATTTCACTCCGTCCTATATTGTATCTCTATTTCTTTAGAAGGAGTGTGTGGTGTTGTTCAGACCTTCACGGCTGTGCTACGGATGGATTTGATAGAATTATTTATATATTTTATCGTATATATATAATGAACATATAGTATATAGTTTATGGATAAAAGAATATAAGTATATAACTCAAACACTACTACACTAATTTTATATTGATGCATACGTATGTAGCCGTTTCTAATCTTGAAAACTAATTATCAGTGTTACGACTAAATTTAGGCACTCTTAAACTAATCCACTAAATTGATGTATTAATTAATAGAGAAAATTTGGAAAAATACCTTCAAAAGAGATTGTATTTTGAAAACTACACCATTGTTCTTTTTTTTTAATTATGCTTAATTTTTTAGTGAAATGTCTAAATTAATCTAACTAAAAATTGGTAATACCTTAAATATTTAATTAAAATATAAATAAATATATAAAATGAAGATAAGAATGAAGACACTTGATTTTGGAATTTCATTAATAGTTTAATTAATATAAATAAATATATAAAAATGAATAAAAGAATGAAGACACATGATTTTGGAATTTGAATCATCATTGCAGTTCATATATCATTTGATTTGGTCTTTTACTAAATTATATTTAGATCTAACTCTTAGAAACTTTATGATGGACCAAAATAATTTTAGTTAAAAAACATCTAATTAATACATTAATAAACTATTTTTTTGTTAGAGATGAATTTTCAAATATTTAAATTGATAATTTCGAATTTTAATTTTCTAAAATAAATTATAATTATAATTAATAATTTCAAATTTTAAATTTCTCAAATAAATTAATATTAATAATTTTGAATTTTAATTTTAATTTATTAAAATATGTAATATCTCTTTTAAGCTAGGTAAAGAAAAACTTATTTGTTTTTATATAATATTAAATAAGTGTTATTTTTAAAAATTTAACTAACAGTGTACTTTTCAAATTTAAAAACTTATATAAGACATTTTGCCAGTTTCCCCTAATTAATATGTCTTTGTTAGTTAGTGGGCTTTTTCATAGTTTTAGAAAAAAAAAAAAGAATTTATCTATGTGTCAAATAATATTATATGATGTGTATTAATATTTTATTTTGATTGGTTTTTTATTTATGCTGATGTGTCAGCTTAAGAAACTTTGAAAATGCTGATGTGTCTTCTATGGAAAGACACAAAGTTTATTATTGTATTGATATGTTCAATTTATATATGATTATAGATTGTTCCGTACTACGCACAAATTGTATATTGTATTTAGTTTTGATAAAATTTAAAGTTGTGAAAATTGAATAAAAAAAGGAAAAATTAAGCTAAGAAATAAAAAAAGAAAAATTTGTTTTAGCGACACATAAATTCTATCCATTTTGTTTTAGATTTCGTTAGAGAGTAGTCAATAGTATTGAGGTCTCTGATTTTGATAGTAAACCATATAAAAGCTAGAGATCTGAAAAATAATATTCTTAGTATTAGGTCATTTTGGTAGAAGTGAAAATGTACGTATACTACAGAAGTGTTCTTTGTTTGGCAATGCTTTGGTATCAAGCGATCGTGGCTCTATTAGAATAATTGAGATGTCAGTTTAGATAAATTGGATTCGATTCTTCCGGGTTAGTCTACTCAACCACTTCTCTCTACTATATAAAGAAGTATCTGACAAGTTCCAATACATTATACATATTCAAAGATTTTATGCGTTTCAGATATTTTCCCCACAAAATTGCAATCAAGCCATCACCATATTTACAGAATTCAAGATTAACACTTGAGTTTTTCTAATCGCACAATTAGCCTACAGGGAAAGAAAGTAACATGAAAGCACAACATTTTTCTACACCAAACAGTAAAGACGACAAAGAGAATACAAAAAAGACAGCATCTGTCTGGAACAAAAATGGCCTCCCAAATGGAAAAGCTTTGACTGAACAAGAACCAGATGATTAAGATAGGCAGTTAAAACCCCTAGACACTTTTGAATGTAATGTACTATTAACCTCTTCATGATAGATTCCATGTTAAAGCCTAAGTCAGTCACCTTCTTTTGGCCTTCTTAGCAGAATGACCGGTGGTTCGTTTATGTCGACTGAAGTCAGAGACAAACCGGAATGTCTGACCGCAACCTGGTTCAGCGCAAACATAAGGCCTAGCACCTGTGTGAACCCTTATGTGCTCGGTTCTAGACCAAGCCCACTTGAACGTCATCTTGCAGCCTTTCCATGGACATTTTAGAGGACGGTCGTCTGAGTGAACACGCTGGTGTTGAACCAAATACTTGTGTGAGAAGAAGTCTTTACCACACCCTTTAACAGGACAGATGTTTCTTTTATGCAAAGACAACTCTTTCTCAGAACTGAAACTCATTGTGCAACCTTCCATGTCACATTGGTACGCATCACATTCTTCTTCCTCCATCTCTTCGTCTTCTTCTTCTTCACTTACATCTCTGGAGAAGGAAGCATTACTACTTCTTTTCTTACTAATTTTCTTCGGTTTTGTTTCTGAAGCCCCTCTCAAGGGCTTCAGAATTCTCACCCTAAGCCGTGTGCTAGGTCCTTCCATGTATGAACTCAGTTCTTGATTCATCTTTCCGGATCCAGATTGTCGAGAAGCGCGACCTCTTGTGTCTCTCGGACTCTGAACTATCTCAGTTTTTACTTTACGTTTAGCGGTGGACCTGGTTTGCCTTTTCCCTGTACTGTAAAAGTCTTCTTCCTCCAGAGATTCCTCTGCTGAATCATACTCACCATCCATTAGACTAGCTTGAACATTTCTTCCTTGCTGATAAACGCCATTTTCATCTGAATCATATGAAACCGGATTCCTAAACACTTTCGTCTGTTTGCTTCTTGGAATCCTCTTAGAGTGCCTGTAGATATTATCATCATTGTGACCATACACAGAGTCCTCCAAAGCATTCCTGTCCATTGACTGTTTATATGGCTGAAAGCTATTCTCCATTGAGCTCTCTGAAACTGCACGTTCCCTAACAGCATATTCTTCTCCAAGTGAACGGTCTGAAACCTCATCATCTGACTCAAATTCCTTAACACCCTTGTCTCGACGAATTCCCTTGCGCTGCTGCTGATCAGACATTTGATTTAATGAATCATCAGAAACCGAATCCCCTGTCCCAAAGTAGGACTCTTCCTCATTCCCGGAGGCCCTCCATTGCTGCTTATAAAAATGATCCTCTGATGTGTCATCTGAAACTCCATCTTCCCTCTTAAAAGAGGTAAGCTTCTTGCGTGGCACAGCCTTTGCCCTCATCTTTCTCTTCCTACAATACTTTCTTCCAAACATTATTGTTCCATCTCTCGAAACATTACCAGGAAACAATCTCTTTCCAGTGACATCCTCATCCAGAGCAACTCGCAGATGACTACTTCTCTCATAATCTTCCCCATCTAAGTCCTGCTGAAGCAAAAAGGGATGCACCTGAAGAAGCAAAAAGATATCAGTCTTAAATCTAACCAAACCAAGCAGAAACAGAAGTGTAACGATATCCGAACAGTACCTGATGCGACATCCAAACTTTCCCACACCATTTTCCAACAACGTATTTCCTCTGTCTGGAAGATCTTTTACCAGAAACTTGGGGTTTCGTGGGTGAGCTCGTTGCTGGAGAGCTGCGACCGAACACTTTGTATATGACTGAGTTGTAAGGCATCTGCTTACTGTAGAGAGGAGAGCGACTAAGATTTGCGCTGTAAGAAAGGTTAATACCCAATTTTACAACCCAATCACTGTTCCCAGCCTTAGCTTCAACATTATCTAAAGCTGCCTGAATCGTTTCCTCATCCTCTCGAGTCACATTCCTGAAGTCAGTATCACTCCATTCGTGATTGACTCCAAGCTCTTCGGCAACTATCTTTGCTTCAGCCTCTATCCTGGGGTACTCTGCAAATACCATGCGTCTTAAAGATCGATCAAAAGACTCAAGCATATGCACAATTTACACAATGTAGTAATACTAATAAAAACTGAATCTTGTAGTTTTGCTGTTACCTGGATGGCATAGTAACATTATATGAATCCCTCCAATAGGAAGGAGTTGCTGTTCCACCTCTGCAGCATGCTCAAGACAAAACACGTGCAACCGAGAGGAATCGTCATCAGATCTTGGAACAAACGGTAAAGCTATTTCCAGAAGTGATGTACTGCCGTCATTGCTTAACCTATCATGTTCAGTGGCATTTGATCCCTCAACAACCCCTTTCCCTTTCCCACATGAAAGTCTTTGACCATCTGTACCAAAAGACGATGCTTCATATGGACCATTTTGGTCATACTTACTCTCTTCTGATAAAATAGCATCTAAGCCTTTGTGATCTTCTTCCTCGGAGTCAGAAGAATCTCCATACGCTGAAGCTAACAAACCAAGAGCACCATCTTCTTTATGCGCTTTTGTTAAAGAAGTTGTTAAAGTTCTTTGATCGCCTGTCTTCATTGAGTGGTCTGCATCGTGCTGTCCCGTCATTTCTGCATCATGAAACAAGTTATGAAACAAAGTCTATAGAGTAAACACTTTGAAGCCTTTAACAAGATGAGCGACTAGTAACTTACGTGAATGAGGAGGCTTTACTACACCCTGACCAAGACTTGCAGACCCCGAAGCAACTGTCCAATCATTGAAGAAGCTGCAATCTGCCGACATGAGATACCTAGCTGCTTCTTCTTTAGGTTGAACAATAGCTACACAATCAAAGCATAAGATTCCACATGTAACACAAGAGAAAAGCCTCTGATCCGAAAGCCCAACAGCTCCATCTTTTTTCCTCCTTTCAGCATCTGCCAAAGTTCCTTGATTTTCGTTCTCCCTGTTTGCCAGGTGATTTCTGTTCCTTTCACACAAAGATGTGAACCTTTCTTTCACAGAAACAGCATCCTTAAAACCGCTATTGAGACCGACCATAACACTACCAGAACCTAAGTCCTCAGATTTCGTTTCCTGGTTAGTTCTCAAATGGGATCCAACTCGCAGGTCGGAACAAACTGATATATTTGAGGAACTCTGCGGAAGAAGAGCTACTGGAGATCCTTTACCTAGAGAGCGGAGCAATTCATTGTTGTGGATAATATTTTGCACAAATAGCTCTTTAGTCAATTTTTCTCCTTCGCTTCTTTTCTTATCTTTCAGTCTAGAACTCCGTGGTTTAGTTTTGATGCTTGTTGGCACTCTGAAATGAGTGAATCACACTTAACATAAATCTTTAAGCCGTTTTAAGACTGCAATTCTGGAGAAAGTGTGAAAATCTATGCAAAAGAAAGAGTACCTTGAACCTAGAGCCAGTGCAAAGTCATAGAGCAACTGGAGATGAGAAACCATTGGAGGGTAGTTTATAGCAGCTCGCCTGATAGCAGCATCTTTGGCCATTCGCAACCATTCAGGAGTTGCAATGTTAGATGCTTCTCCACAATTGAATCCTAAAACCTCCCAAGATTAGTTTCAACATGTAAACCCTAGAGCGATTAACTTGCAGAGAGTTAAGATTGACCACTCACCGTGACTAAACCCTGAATGATATGCCCTTGGAAAAGTGACGACAAACTCTCCAGGATTTTGCACTAACCTGATACAAGCAAACCACTTGCGTGAATCAAATGAACCTAATGGAAGCAATTAACAGTTTATTTTATAGTGGGAGAAGTAAATGGAAGACAACAGGATCATTAGATAAACAGAGCACACATAAGAAACCAATACCTGCAACACGGTATCCCGGCTTTCACAAATACTTCAGGAGACATCACAGTTGTCTTCTCACCAAGAGTATAAAATGTCACTGACAAGACAACAACATAAGAGTCATTGCTATTTAGTGTACTTTCATACAGCTACATAAATATTTGGAAAAGAATCATTCAAAAGCAACATAAGAGGATAGAGACACAAACATGCCAACAATCAGAAAAATGAAATGAAGCTAAGCTCCCAGACTCGCAGAACCTTCATAACTTAACCTTCAAAGGTATGTTGCTATCCGAAAAACCAACAAAGCACAAGCCTTTACGGACATTTTCATGACATAAATGACAATGAAACAGAGTAATCCCATAGCAATAAGCATTTTTGGTGGAAATGAAAACTCACCGAGAGGATTAAGCTCTCCTCCATAACCATGAACCCTAACGACCTCCTCAAAGGCCGCAGCAGCATCCTTTGGCACGCCGTACCAAGTCTTAGCAGCACCCATGTGCAAGTAATTGAGGCTATGGAGGTCATGGTCCTCCACATGCCAAGCAAACCAACTAAACATCATTGCAATATAAATCATCGGTGATGTAACACCAGGGATCTCCTCTTTCATGAACCTAAGCAATGATCCTTCTGCTCTAGCCATTGCCCTCATGTTCCAAGCTGTCTCACCAACTGTTCCTCCATCACCACCATACTCTCTCCTCCTCGCAGCTGCAAGACTCAGAGGGATAAAAGCCGAGCCAGGCATGTCATTGGCATACTCAACAGAGAAGGGTTTGTCCACAGTGGCTCTCCAGTAAAGGGTTTCGATTTCTAGAGCAGAGAGTTGACTCTTTTTGCCGCATTTCTTGAGGTAATTCTTCTCAAAGCTCCTAGCTTTGGCCTCGAACTCACCGAAACTGTAATGCTCTCCGCTCTGCCACACTGGTCTCTGTACGGGTCGCTGCTTCCTTGGGCAAAACCCGATCTGCTGTTGACGCGTGGCGAATGCAGGGGCACCGTCGTAATCGCACGCGCCGGCGCCGTCACGAGCCCTCGCCGCCGCTAGCGCCGCCAGAGAGCGGTTGAGGTTAGAAATCGTGGTTTTCTTCGACGGAGGAGGCACTGGAGGCAAAATTTTGCAGATTCCGTATAGGGAAGCTTCTTCTTCGATCTTGAAAATGTAAGCGATCGGATCTTGGAACTCTGCTAGAGTAGGTCGGAACTCTGGGGCTACCGGCAACGATTTTAGCCATGGAAACACGTCCGGGCTCTGTTCCGAAACCGCCATATCTTTCCGACTATCGCACGGACAGAAGAAAAGGAAAACCTTTCTCTCGAAAATAGTTCACTTTCAGGGTTTCAGAATCTGGGTACTTATCAAAACGCCATTACAGAGGGAAAACAAACCAGAACTTAAAATTGAGAAAAAGGAAAAAAAAGCAGAGTTAAGAGATTCGACGAGTCTCAACCATCTCTCCTCTCCAATAAGTTTTTAATACTTGGTAATTAATCTACTTTTTTCCTCGAGAGAAACAACTTTGCTTGATCTCGTTTATTTTGTGAAACAGGGGAGTTTTTTTAATTTTCTCAGAGGGTTGGGGTTGGGTTTGGGCAGAGCAAGATTGCCATTTCTCATTTCTCTGTTTTGTTTTTTTCTTTTAAATTAATCTCATTTGCATAGAATAAGAAAACAGCAACTATGAAGGGTTTTTGACTTAAAATGAATTTCTTGTGTTTTCTTATAATACATTTATTTACTATTTACATGTTATTTTTCTTTGATAAATAGTTAAATACCATTTCAATAATTTCATGAGGTTCTTCAACAACACACATTTGTTGTTGTCCTGCCCATTTAGCGCATGCTCCTTTTTTTGTATTAACATTTTCAATATTTTTTACTTAAAAGGAAAGTCGATAGCAAATTTGTCTTCGAAAAGTAAATTTGATAATGTCATAAATACTGAACTTAAATTTTAGTTCAAAAAATAAATAAAACAAATATACTGAACTTCAGCTAATGTTATACTTATTAGCAGCAATTTGGTTGGTGGGTTGAGTCTTTATCAAGGTCAAATGAAATCAACGGCTACACACTTAGGCATTCAACCATCCAAATTGTGCCACATAACTTCAAATATTAAAAAAAAAGTGGCTGTTTAATTAATTAAATAGTAAAGTAAATATAAATTTTAAGTGGAATCGGAATTGGATGCGGGAAAAGACAAAAAAAAATGATAGAAAAAAAAGTTCATATATTTTCTTTTTCGAAATTAATTTCCTAGATTTGGTTTAAGCATGATCCCTCTGTTTAACGAATGGCCTCTGTCTACTAACTACGGACTATACAAACATTACAAACAGTTAACCAAAGGACTGTATATATATGCTAGTAAAATACAAAAAAACAAATCTGAACATTTAGAATTAACACTTATCAAAATAAACTTTTTAACTCCGAAAATTCATTTTGTAAAAATAAGTTTAGATGCTGCATGTACATGATTAGCTAAGTAGATAAAGTTTTGAGTTTGTGGTCAAGAAAACGGCAAAAAGCATTACGAAACAGAGGATAAACATGGTTTCAAATTACTATTGTGCAAGAGATTTATGTTACGGTAAGAGACCAAGGAACACGATTTTCAAAAATATCCAACTTTTCGAAATTAAAGTATGTCTCTTGGGGGTTGAAACATTATCCAAACAAGCAGAGACTTTGTTACTCCAAAAGTGGCTCTTGCTTTCTTCTAAATCTTTCTCTATAACCAACTCTTTTCGTCAACACAGAAGACCTAAAAATTAAGAAGCTAACGTTTATACTTTGTGTAGCATATAACGCCTCTTAACACATTGATTCACACACAAGTTTTATCAAAATCATCTTTCTTGTAACCACATCATATAAAGTCAAGAAGAAAAGAAACTAACATGAACAAGATTTGTTTACAGATTCAACTGTAAAAATGATGACAGAGAATACAACAAGAGTCTGCAATAAGAATGGCTCTTCCGAATGTTAAAAGACTTTAACTCAATAAGCCCACCAAGTAGAGAAGAAACAGTGACACTTAAAAGTTAAAACCCCTAAAGCCCTACAATCCAATTTTGTTTTTAAAAGACCAATGTATTAAAACCTCTTCTTCATGATAGACCCTACATCACCTTTTCTTAGTCTTCTTAACTGAATGACCGGTCTTCCTTTTATGCCGGCTAAAATCTGAGACAAACCGGAATGTCTGACCGCAACCTGGTTCAGCACAAACATAAGGCCTTGCACCTGTGTGAACCCTTATGTGTTCAGTTCTAGACCAAGCCCACTTGAACGTCATCTTGCAGCCCTTCCATGGACACTTCAGAGGACGGTCGTCTGAGTGAACACGCTGGTGTTGAACCAAATACTTGTGTGAGAAGAAGTTTTTACCACAACCTTTAACAGGGCAGATGTTTCTTTTATGCAAAGCCAACTGTTTATCCGAAGTGAAACTCATCGTGCAACCCTCCATGTCACATTGGTACGGTGCGCGTTCCTCTTCCTCTTCCTCATTCTCTTCTTCTTCCTCTTCCTCTAACTCTTCTTCACTTGCAGCTCTGGAGAAGGAAGCAGGACTGCTTCCTCTCTTAATCGTTTTCTTTAGTTTTGTTTCGGAAGACCCTATTGATGGCCTAAGGTTTCTTACCCTCAGCCGTGTGCTAGGTCCCTCCACGTATGAATCCAGTTCTTGATTCTTCTTTCCAGATGCACGTCCTTTTGAATCTCTCAGGCTCTCAACTATCTCGGTTTTCACTTTTCGTTTAGCGGTGGACCTGGTTTGCCTTTTTCCTGTACTGCAAAACTCTTCTTCCTCCGGTGAATTCTCTGCTGAATCGTACTCACCACCCATTCGACTAGCTTGCGCATTACTTGTGGATACTCTTACCCTTACTCTTCCTCTTTGCTGATAAAGGCCATTTTCTTCTGAGTCATATGAAACCGGATTCCTAAAAACTTTAGTCCGTTTGCTCCTTGGAATCCCTTTAGGGTGCCTGTAGATATCATCATCATCATCATGATCGAACATTGACTGCTTCTCTCCATACAGCTGACAGCCATTCTCCATTGAGCTCTCTGAAACTGCACCTCCCCTAACAGCATATTCTTCTCCAAGAGAACGGTCTGAAACCTCATCATCCGATTCAAACTCTTTATAACCTTGGCGTCTGGTAATACCCTTGCGCTGCTGCTGATCAGACATTTGATTTAATGAATCATCAGAACCCGAATTCCCTGTCTCAAAGTAGGACTCTTCCTCATTCCCGGAAGCCCTCCATTGCTGCTTATAAGAATGGTCCTCTGATGTGTCATCTGAAACTCCATCTTCCCTCTTAAAAGAGGTAAGCTTCTTGCGAGGGACAGCCTTTGCCCTCATCTTTCTCTTCCTACAATACTTTCTTCCAAACATTGTGGTCGCATCTCTCGAAACATAACCAGGAAACAATCTCTTTCCAGTGACATCCTCATCCAGAGCAACTCGCAGATGACTTCTTTCAGATTCTTCCGCTTCCAAGTCTTCCTGCAGCAAATAGGGATGCACCTGAAGAAGAAAAAGATATCACCAGTCTTAAATCTAACCAAACCAAGCAAGGAACAGAAGTGTACCAATGTCCAAATTAGTAAGGTTTCAAAATAGTCAATAGTACCTGATGCGACATCCAAACTTTCCCACACCATTTTCCAACAACATATTTCCTCTGTCTGGAAGATCTTTTACCAGAAACTTGGGGTTTCGTGGGTGAGCTCGTTGCTAGAGAGCTGCGACCGAACACTTTGTATATGACAGAGTTGTAAGGCATCTGCTTACTGTAGAGAGAAGAGCGACTAAGAATAGCGCTGTAAGAAAGGTTAATACCCATTTTCACAGCCCAATCACTGTTCCCAGCCTTAGCTTCAACGTTATCCAAAGCTGCCTGAATCGTTTCCTCATCCTCTCGTGTCACATTCCTGAATTCAGTATCATTCCATTCGTCATTGACTCCAAGCTCTTTGCCAACTATCTTTGCTTCAGCCTCTATCCTGGGGTACTCTGCAAATATCGTGCGTCTTAATGATCGATCAAAGACTCAGTTTCTATAGCAAAAAGCCAGTCGATAAAAATTTCTGTTGTAGTTTTGATGTTACCTGGATGGCATAATAACATTATGTGAATCCCTCCAATAGGACGAAGTTGCTGTTCCACTTCCGCAGCATGCTCAAGACAAAACACGTGCAACCGAGAGGAATCGTCATCAGGTCTTGGAATAAATGGTAAAGCTATTTCCAGAAGTGAGGTATTCCCGCCTTTGCTCAACCTACTCTGTTCGCTGGTACAAGAAAGTTTCAAACAACTTGAAGTAGCATGTGATACGTCAACCTCTTTCCCTTTCCCACATGTAAGTCTTTGGCTTTTAAAATCAGAAGATCGACCATCTCTAGCCTCCTCGTTGCCATCTGTATCAAAAGGTGTTGCTTCTAATACAGGAGCACCTTCCCCTTCCGAAATCGGAATGTCGAAGCATTTGTGATCTTCTTCCTCGGAATCTGAAGAGTCTCCATATGCTGAAGCTAACAGCCCAAGAGCACCGGTCTTTATTGACTGATCCACTTTTGTTATGGAACTTGACGAAGTTTTTTGAGCACCAGACTTTATTGACTGATCCGTAATTTGAACAGGGACATCGTAGAAGTTATTAACATCATGCTTTTCCGTGCTTTCTGCATGATGAGACAAAGTCAGTAAACGCTAAAAAAATTAACAGGAAAAGTAAATTACGCGGATGAAGTGATCCTGCAGCCTGACCAAGATTTGCAGATCCGGAAGCAACTGTCCAATCATTGAAGAAGCTGCAATCTGCAGACATGAGATATCTAGCTGCTGCTTCCTTAGGTTGAACAATAGCTACACAATCAAAGCATAAGATTCCACATGTAACACAAGAGAAAAGCCTCTGATCCGAAAGCCCAACAGCTCCATCTTTTTTCCTCCTTTCAGCATCTGCCAAAGTTCCCTGAGTTTCGTTCTCTCTGCTTGCCACGTGATTTCTGTTCCTTTCACACAAAGATGTAAACTTTTCCTTCACAGAAACAGCATCCTTAAAACCGTTATTCGGACCGACCATAACACTATCAGAGCCTAAGTCCTCAGATTTTAATTGGATTGGCTTTTCCTGGTTAGTTCTCATATCGGATCCCACTCGCAGTTCAGAACAAACTGATATATCTGAGGAACTCTGCGGGAGAAGGGCTATTGGAGATCCTTTTCCAAGAGAAGAAAGCAATTCATTGTTACGGATGATGTTTTGCACAAACAGCTCTTTAGTCAATTTTTCTCCTTCACTTTTTTTCTTATCTTTCAGTCTAGAGCTCCGTGGTTTAGTGTTAATACTTGCTGGCACTCTGCAATGAATGATGACACCTAAAATGAACCTTTCAAGAAGCTTATAAGTTTGAAAAGTGTCTTTGCAAAAGAAAGAGTACCTTGAACCTAGAGCCAATGCAAAGTCATAAAGTAACTGGAGATGAGAGACCATTGGAGGATAATTTATTGCAGCTCGGCGGATGGCAGCATCGTTTGCCATTTTCAACCATCGGGGAGTTGCAATATTAGATGCTTCCCCAAAATTGAATCCTGTAATCCCAAAGATTGTTATTTTAAATGCATTAAGCCTGGAATGATTAACTTGAAGATGCTAAATAAAGGTCGCTTGCTCACCATGACTAAACCCTGAATGATATGCTCCTGGAAATGTGACTACAAAATCTCCAGGGTTTTGCACTAACCTGATACAAGCAAACCACTTGCGTGAAAAGCCAGGAGAAAAATTTGTGCCCCCAATCAATTGAATAGAATGGAAGTAAGTAACAGTTTATTCTCTAATTAAACAGAGCACACAGAAGAAAACCATTACCTGCAACACGGTATCCCAGCTTTAGCAAATACTTCAGGAGACATGACAGTTGTCTTCTCACCAAGAGTAGAAAATGTCACTGGTAAGAAAACAACATAAGAGTCATAACCATTTAGCATGCTTGCATGTCAACAAACAAGGATAGAGACTCAAACATGTCAACAAACAGAACACTGAATTGAAGCTAATCTTTCGGACTCAGAGAATCTTCATCACTTAACCTTCAAAAAAAAGTTGCTATCCAAAAAAGATTCTAGCTTGAAACAAAAACCAACCAAGCACAGGCCTTTACCGACATTTTCATGACACAAATGACAATGAAACAGAGTAATCCCATAGCAATAAGCATTTTGGTGGAAATGAAAACTCACCGAGAGGATTAAGCTCTTCTCCATAGCCATGAACCCTAACCACCTCCTCAAAGGCCGCAGCAGCATCCTTTGGCACGCCGTACCAAGTCTTAGCAGCACCCATATGCAAGTAATTGAGGCTATGAAGGTCATGGTCCTCCACATGCCAAGCAAACCAACTAAACATCATAGCAATATACACCATCGGTGATGTAACCCCAGGGATCTCCTCTTTCATGAACTTAAGCAATGATCCTTCAGCTCTAGCCATTGCCCTCATGTTCCAAGCTGTCTCACCCACTGTTCCTCCATCACCGCCAGACTCTCTTCTCCTTGCAGCTGCCAGACTCAGAGGGATAAAAGCCGAGCCAGGCATGTCGTTTGCGTACTCGACAGAGAAGGGTTTGTCCACAGTGGCTCTCCAGTAAAGGGTTTCCATTTCTAGGGCAGAGAGCTGACTCTTTCTGCCGCATTTCTTGAGATAATTCTTCTCAAAGCTCTTAGCTTTAAACTCGAACTCACCGAAACTGTAATGCTCTCCGCTCTGCCACACGGGTCTCTGCACGGGCCTCTGCTTCCTAGGGCAAAACCCGATCTGCTGTTGCCGCGTGGTGAATGTGGGACCACCGTCGTAATCGCACGCGCCACCGCCGTCACGAGCCCTCGCCGCTGCTCGCGCTGCCAGAGAGCGGTTGAGGTTATTAATGGCGGTTTTCTTAGAGGAAGGAGGCACAGGAGGCAAAATTTTGCAGATTCCGTATCGAGATGCTTCCTCTTCGATCTTAAAAATGTAAGCGATCGGATCTTGGAACTCTGCTAGAGTAGGTCGGAACTCTGGGGCTACCGGCAACGATTTCAGCCACGGAAACACGTCTGCGCTCTGCTCTGAAACCGCCATATCTCTCTCGCACAGAGGAAACTGAAAAAAATATCCCTTTCTCTCAAAATTTCTTTACTTCACAGTAACCAAAACGCCATTACAGAGCAGAAACAGAACAAAATTTCAAAAAAATAAAAGTTAAGAGATTCGACGAGTCGCCACCATCTCTCCGGCCAATAGGTTTGTTTTGTTAAAGGGTCATCTACTTTTCCTCGGCAAAAACGAGGCTTGATCTCGTTTCTTAGGTCTCTGTTTTTATTGGATTAAAGAAACAGGGGAAAAAATTGTATTTTTTTTTTCTTTAAGGGTTGGGTTTGGGGCAGAGTAAGAGATGTGATTTCTCAGTATTTAACATCTAAAGAACTGTGAGTAGTAGATTTCGTTTTTTTTTTCTTTTCTTTTCTTTTTGGGTACTGGCAAAAGAAGAAGGGTTTTTGATATCCTCAGCGAAGGGTAGTGAAGTTTTAGTTATTTACGATTCTGCCATTTCATTTGTTCGACTTCGACTCACAACATTTGTTGTTGTCCTCTTCGTAAGTCCGTTTGCGCATTCAAAAAACTCCATTTAAACCAAAATCACTATTTTCAGATTTCAGGTTTAATATAAAAAGGTTAGATATATATATTTTACATTAAAGATTTTCCTTAAATTTAGGTTTTCCTAATTTTCTGGTATTAATAGTTTATGAATTTTCAAAGCATCTAATTTGTTAGCAAAAATTATTTTCAAATTAACAGTTATATCAGGAAGTCAACTCTGAAATTCAACACGAAAGCAATGCATAATTCAAATATATACAAATTTAATTTTCATATGAATATGAACCCTTGGTTTATCGAATGTTGCCTCTATCCACTGACTATACAATAAAGCAAAGGGTATATATGCTTAAAATACACCCAAAAAAGTTCTAAATCTTTAGAAATTAGCACATATCAAAACTATAAAAAGTAAAAGAAGATTCAAAAGTTAAGATATCTACATTTCCTAGGAAAATTAAGCATATTAATAGAGTTGTTAATTAATTACCTTTGAGAGCTCAACAGAGCAACAAGGCCAAATAAGTGTCTCAATAACATCAATCAGATCCTCAAGTAAATTAAAAGATCAACTCTGCTAACACAAGCCATGCTTTGAGTTCTCAAGAAGGCTTATGTTGCATTACAGAAGAGGATGATTTTAGTTGGAAACCTGGTTCTCTTCCGAATCTGAAGTTGGCTTCGAAAGCTCGAGTGAAACCGGACAGTGATCACTCCCATAGAAACCTGAAACAAATCAAGAACCAAGTTGCTGCAGAAAGAGCTAAATATCAATCTTCTATATGAATCTGTGTGATGCTAAAAATCTTAACTACGGCACCTTCTAATTCTATCCCACGACCGTGCATCTTACAAGTAACTATACGGTCTTTGAGCTGTTCAGAGACCAGAAAATAGTCGATCCTCATCCTCTTTCCCCGGTACCTATCGCAACAAAAAAAAAAAGATCCATATAAAGCTTTAGAGCCATGATAACAAGCTTCTGGACTCCGTGCCATGTGAAACCAGCAATTGAAAACCCTGACATTCAATGTTGGTCATGCATAACCCAAAACTAGTATATGTGGTATCTACTCACTTTCCAATAGGATTCCCACACCATGAGAAGCCACTTTCCATGTCTGGTTCCTTGTGTAGATACCGGTATGCATCAACAAGCTTTCCTCTGTAACATTCCCATAAGTTTAATTTAGAATCACATGCTCTGTAGCTATAATCTCTATTCAAGAAGTTACTAATACTAAGACTTCGCATTGCAAAGATATATTAGGCATACTCTTTCATAATTGCACCGAAGCGTCTTCTCTCAGATGGTGTAAATCCAGGCTGTCCATAGTCCTGCATAATCATATACTTTAGAACCATTTGTAATCACCCTATGATTCTAAAGTACATATCATGGATAAGCTTTTGGTTCAGGCATTATACAGTCATCTACAATGAGAGGTCACGGCGCAAATGCAGAGACAAGAAAAGAACATAACCATTAAGCTTTGTATCCAATGCACAAGATTTGGTATGTGTTACCTCTTTGTTTGGAGGAACATAACCATTAAGCTTTGCTGTTGCGAAAAATTCTGGATGGCTAACATCTATCTCCTCATGACTGCATATTACACAAAAATCGAATCTTAGAAATAACATCAACTTTTGTCCTGTAACACTGCAAGGGCTTGAAGAAAAGAGTCTGACAAAATCAGAGCTTCCTCATTACCTGACATTTAAGTCGCCACACCATACTAGAGGTTTATCAGACGTTTGGGTGAGGAACTCAACAATCCTCTTGTCCCATTTTCTTCTCCTCTGAAATGAATTCTCCTCCTCTTTCCAACCATTGTTAGGCGAATACGTGTTCAAAAGACGGTATGTCTCAAATTCAGCTAAGATTACTCGACCATCAGGTTCATGTTTAGATGCTGCATGATAGCGACAAGTATATAAGTTACTCACTAAACTGATCTAGCTATGATATATTTCTCCCAAGTAGGATAAACTTTGAGGTCAAAAGAAAACATGGTTTCAAATTGCTAGTGTGTAGAGAGACTTGTGTGATAATAAGAAACAAGCAACAAGGTTTTCGATAATTACCTAATTTGTCAAGGTTAAAGTAAACTTTCCGGAGCTTGAAACACTTTTTCACTAACAAAGCTGTCCCTGCATACTTGGAATCCGCAAGAGACCACCAAACTCGATAATTTCCAAATGGTGGACTTGAGAGAGCCCGCATCAAAATCTGCAGTCAGTACAAGAAGAACAGTTTCCCAGGAACTATCATCAACCTTGAACGTTATCAAACCAACAAGAGAGTTTGTTTCTTCTAAATCTACCACTGCATCGTTGATTCTAACTCAATACACTAAAAATGTTCTTGTAATTGCAAATGCATCAAAATACAAAGCTCTGGTTCTCATTCAAAACAGAAACTATGGTACCTGTTTTTCCTCACGCAAAGCTTTCGTGTCATCACTCAACTCTTCATGATTTTTAGGTCTTCCCTTTCCACCAGCAGCAGGCATTCTTACTTCCTGACATTAAGAACAGAGTTAAACGCTACGCTCAGTATCTGGCCCCAGAGACACAATGAAACCATAAGGAGTTAACTACATCATCGTCGTAGTCACAAACAATTGAATCAAAGTCTGATCTTTTGCACCACCAACCATTTTCAGTGTCACAAGTGACTGAATTTGCATTAACGGGTTTGATAAATTTCAGAATTAGTCCGAGACACAAAAGTTAGCTTTGGGGCAACACTAGAGAAGTAAACAGAAAAACGAATATCATAAGCATTAAGCAACAACCAGCTTATACAGAACTCATATATTTCCATAGCAGTAAACCATACACTTGAAAGATCAACACTTTAAGCTAAAATTAGAGCATACTCAAGAGAACCAAAACAAACAACATACACAAATTTCTCTTGCATCACACACTAGAAGAGTAACCACAAAATCCTTCTTCACCAAGTAGAAGTCCGCAAAATACATCAAGAAGACTCAAACCACTTCAATGAAACCCTAGGGGATCTGGAGAAATAATAATTCCTCATGGATACATACACCTAAGCACATTTACTCACATTGCTCGGAATCAATCCCAGAAACAAAAATGAAAAAGAAGCAAAATCACCTGTACGGCAATGACATCAGGATCAAAATCGGAGACGAACTTAGAGAACTCAGACCAGTCGTTTTTCACCCGAAGGAGGAAGCTATTAGCGTTCCACGTCAAAAACTTGGACGGCTCATTCTGAGTCTTCTCTTCTTCAACTCCGTCTCCGTCTCCGTTGCGCTTTTCCGGCGAAAGGCAGGGCTTTTTAGCTGCCGTTGAGCCGTCCTTCTCTATGGGCTTGAAGAATCGTTTCATAGCTTAGCAATTTCCTACCCGTCCAGTTCCCTTCTTCGTCCTTAATTCGATCAAAATTGAAATGCCAATTTGAAAAAGAAAAAAAAAAGGAAGAAACTTTTAAGTCATCCCCGTGAAAAAGATTCAGCCTTTGTGTTTTCTCGTCGAATTTAACATAGAAATCCGCAACGATGGTCTCTCACAGTGAAACCCACCAATGCAAAAACCATTGTTTACACATTAAACCCAAAAAAAAATACCCAGAAGCCCAAAATATTACAACGTTTATTTTGTTACATAGTGTGTAATATAATCGAATATTCCAATTATATATATGGTTACATGAATGTTTTCTCTTCACTATACATTGCTACATACCAAGTTACCAACGTTCATCTCTGCAAATCCAAGCTCTGATCATGATTAAGAGCTATCTTTACTCAGTGTTTTATCTTCCTCATTGTAACACGTGTCACAGGACGCATCTGTGGCGTGGCGTCTGGGAACTAGACCACGTGCGCGGACACAACCTTAAACAAAGAAGATATTTTTTAAAGGAATGAGTTCGTTTGATAATGTTGCCTGATCTTATGTCAATATGAGAGAAAGGGAGGCAAGTACGTACATAGATCTGCATTTTCCGGCTCTTCTCATCGGAGGATCATTCGCCGCCGTCGCAATTTGTCTCTCTGCTCTCCTTATCTTCCAGCATCTCCGTTTCTACACCAATCCCTCTGTCCGTACAAACGACTCTGCAATTTTTTTTTCCTGTTTTCTGACGTATAGTTTCAGTTTACATTATACATATCTGCGTGACAGATTATTGGTATTTTTTGGGAAGAATTATGGATTTTGTTATAGCATCACCGCCTTTATCTAATGGGGCTCATGTTTGATCTCATATGGTTATGTCTGTATCGGTTCTTGATGAGTTTGAGTACATAATATGCAGGAGCAAAAATGGATTGTTCCAGTTTTGTTTATGGTCCCAGTTTATGCTACTGAATCGGTAAGACTCTTCCTATACATGAGTTTGTAAATTTTGTTTCTATTTTTCAATTGATATAACTGTTTTTTTTTTTGGGTTTTAGATCATTTCCTTGTCTAATGCAAAATTCTCGCTGCCTTGTGACATTTTGAGAAACTGCTATGAGGCTTTCGCTTTGTATTCATTTGGAAGTTACTTGGTAGCATGTTTAGGTGAAGAGGCTCTGTGCTTTCTCTGTCTCTCTCCCTTGTTAATTCAGGATTATGTTAAAGTTTAAACAAACTATATACAATATGTATGCTCAGGTGGTGAAAGAAGAGTTGTTGATTTGCTTGAAAACGAATCAAGCACACCATTATTAGAAGGAGAAGCAAATGAGAGCAATGAGAAGAAAAGGAAGCAGAAGCAGAGGAATCCATTTTGGAAGTTCTTGTGTGAACCATATGTGTTAGGACGAGAGCTCTTTGTAATAGAGAAGTTCGGTCTTGTCCAATATGTAAGTGAGCTTCTTCTTCTTCAACCCAATTGCTGATTTTATTTTTAAGTTAATAATGATAATCGTTTGTGAAATTTATTGCCTCACAGATGATTCTCAAAACCTTTTGTGCATTCTTGGCATTTCTGTTGGAGCTTCTCGGTGTTTATGGTGATGGTGAATTCAAATGGTATTACGGGTATGTGATGAAATCGAAAAATCTTATATATCATGTTCTCATGTTTCATCAAATGTGAAAATAAAAACTAGTGATGAAATCTTTATGATTCTGTAGATATCCATACATAGAGGTGGTGCTAAACTTCAGCCAGATGTGGGCTCTGTTTTGCTTGGTGCAGTTCTACAACGTGACTCATGAACGCCTCAGAGAAATAAAACCTTTGGCCAAGTTCATCAGCTTCAAGGCTATCGTCTTCGCCACTTGGTGGCAAGGCTTCGGCATCGCTCTGCTCTGTTACTACCGCGTGCTTCCTAAAGAAGGAAGGTTCCAAAACGCGTTGCAAGATTTCCTCATCTGCATCGAGATGGCTATAGCAGCCGTGGCTCATCTCTTTGTCTTCCCAGCCGAGCCTTACCACTACGTTTCCGTATCGGAGTGCGGTAGGATCACGGCGGAGACGAGAAAGAAGACGGAGGTTAAACCGGAAGAAGGCGGTGTTGTCGAGACGACGGAGACTCAGGTCGAAGCATCCGGCACAAGCATTAAGGAGAGCGTGCAAGATATAGTTATCGACGGTGGTCAACACGTGGTGAAGGATGTGGTTCTTACGATAAACCAAGCGATGGGACCGGTGGAGAAAGGCGTAACGAAGATACAGGACACGTTTCAGCAGAAGGTTTTGGATTCTGACGTTAAAGAAGAGAAAGAAGTGACGACCGTTGAGACTAAGGTGGAACATGCAAGAAAAGCTTCGCATGGACGTAATTAAGAGAAGTTGAAACTGAGACAAATCTCAATTTGGTAATGGAAATCTCAGAGAGATAGATAGTGTGTAATCGAATGATGTGGTTTCACAATGAATATTTCTCTTTGCTATTCACACCAATGTTGAGATAGTAACTTTTAAGTAACAAACTGTTTCTGGAGAAGGCTTCCACAGAAGGTAAGATCAAATCTCTCCTCCGGAGGGTCTCCAATGCAATCGAATACAGCGTCTGCGTTCTCAAAATCTTCATCCGCTGTGTATCTGCAGATCCAAAGATGAATACTCATTTCAGTTTCTGGTTGTTATTGTATGAATGAGAGATTCCGATAGCAAAACTCACCCGCTCTTTGTAACTATACAAGTCATTCCCGCAGCTTTTGCTGCTGCTAGTCCAATCGCACTGTCTTCAACCACAACGCATCTGCACACAAATCAAACAGAGCCAAAAAGAGTTTCTAAAACTGACTCATTCTCCTGTAAAAAAAGTGTTGGTAACACTTACTTTGAGGGATCAACTCCAAGGGTTTCAGCTGCTAAGTTGTATATGGCCTGTTACAACAAATGTTTCAGATAACCAAGGTGAAAGCAAGCAAGCTTGTTGTGATAGAAAATGGGAAGGTTAGTGAAATCACCGGGTCAGGTTTCTTTTTGGGAACTACATCTCCTGCGAATATCTTGATCTTCTCTGCTCGTTCTGGTCCAAGCAAGCATGAAACTATAGCAGAAACCTGAGAAACAAGGGCAAAAATGAGAATACGTTGCCCATATAAGAGCGTGTATACAATTTGTGACATATTTGAGAACATTCTTGCTTAATAATGCAGTTTCCTAGTCTTCTTTTAAAGATTATTTATGGCCTTAGGAAACTGAAGTAGTAGAACCTGATTAATCATACCGCCTTCTCATTTGAAGTGCTGCACACAGCGACTTTTACTCCATTCGTTAGAGCTTGATCAACCAGCCTGCAAAGTTCCAACAAGAAACATTCATAGTACCAGGAGAATCCATCATCATTCAAAAGCAAGTGAGAGTACCAAGAATATAAAATAGAAGTGACCCTAACTTGGCAACACCGGGTCGAAGAGGAAGCAGCTTTTTCTCGATGAGGACCATGAAAAGCTCAGTCTTCTGCTTGTGAAGCCCAGCTATGAACACTTTCCTCTCTGCTTCGTCCTTTGGAGCTTTCTCCGGCCACCCAACCTTGTTAAAATACGCCGTCATCCTACAAAATGCAAAAGCCATCTCAGTGACTTGTTTTTCTCTCCAGTTTCATTCAGATGAATCAAATTTGGTATTTAGCAAAATGCAATTTTGATTATTAGCTTTTCTGTACCTTTCTTTCCCACCACCGATTTTGAGTAGCTCGCCGTACAAATCGACATCCCAGGTTACACCCAAATCTCTCTGCGAGGTTTCCAACATTACCGGAACTCAAAGATTGAAACTTTAAGGCTAGAATCAGGGGAGAAAGACGATTTACCTCTTTGAAAGTGTCGTTGAAGGAGATCCTGTGACCGTCCTTCTCGGTATCAACAAGCACGCCGTCGCAGTCGAATAGAAGAGCAGAGGGAAGAGTCGCCGGAGAAGATGAAGCAGAGCAGGTGATTCCGCCGGAGCGAGGAGATATGGATTTCATCGGTTTTGCTCTCAGGGACTTACCCATGAGTCGCGACTTCGCCGGCGAAGGTGTCGCGTTAAACGCACGCGCCGCATTGGGGAAGAGAGACGCCGCTGATAGCTTTGATTGAGTTGAAGAAGAAGAAGAAGGTGAAACGAAGGAAAGAGAGAGTTTCACAGTCGCCATTGTTTGATCGATCCTCTGTCTCTCGTTCAGTATCCGTCTGCGAAAATAAATAACGGTCGGGGGGGATTTCTTCAACTTATCCGGGTCTCGCGTTAACGACCACAAGAATGAACCACCCGGTCCGGGTCGGATTAGGGTATGTTCCGAGTCTTCTGACTCAAAACTGGGCCGGATAGTTTTTGTGACGTGTACACAAATGTTTGGCAATAATAATATCTCAATGACGCTAATCAGTTTTTTTCGTTTTTTTTGTTGTTAAAGAAATCAATCAATTTTTTTTTTTGTAATATCAAAACTTATCAAAAACTAACTAAAATATGCATGCACGCTTCGATATCAAACAAATGTCTTGCATAAACCATGATCGTCCCTTCTCCGTGATACAGAGAAACAGAGCTATAATCACTTGAGAAAAAATTTACAAAACAAAAAGAATTGTTACAAAGAAGACCAACCTGTTCAAAACCCAATAATCTCAGTCAGAAATTATTTTAAATGATTGTATTAGTTTTTCACAAAATTTGAGAAATTTTCAAAGGTCACGTGGCTCATGTTTTTTTATAGTTACTCTTCGAGTTTTCCGAGTTCCTAACGTAATTTACTAATTACAAGTTTACAACTCGTCATAGAAACTGGAATGGTACGTACGTGTCCGGTGTCTACGTATCTTTTACTTTTCAGCAGATTTGCCCTTTTCTAAACAAAAATAAACTAAAATCCAATACTATTAAATTAAATTCATTTATTATATAAATGACAAAAACTCATAAAGAGGCAAGCGCTACTTTGGTGTTCTTCTTACTCTCTTTCTCTAGTTATTTTCCTGGAATTTTTTCCAATACAGAGAGAAAATGTCTGGAGAAGGAACAGAGAGAAAGAACAAATCTCCAGCTTCTGCAAGATCTCACACCACAAACACTCAAGAAAGATCTTCACCTGGTACTAAAAAAAATCTGATATTCATTTTATCTTAAGTTCTTGTTAATGTTCGGTCTCATGCAATAAAAATCTTAGACTCTTATCTTCTGTCAAGAAGATTATATCTGTGGAAAGCTGGAAGAGAGATAATTATCTATCTTATTCCCCTTATTTTTGTTGTTCTCAGGCCATTCTTTTTAATTTTCTGAAAGAACATTTAATGCAAATGACAAAAGTTTCTAGATTTTATAATTTTCTTTTATCAAAGTTCTAGATGATTGGATGGGCGTTAGAATTGGAAGCTAATCAAAATTTGAACCGAATAATTAGTTGCTCTGGTTTGAATGCTGTTTGGTTTTCGTTTTTTTTTTTTTTGGTTAAAGGTCAAAAATTTAATTAATACTGTATTTTCTTACTTTAAATTCAAAAATAAATAATTTTAGTAATTCTGAATGTAATGTAAACAGATTTCTTTTCGGTTTCGATTCAGATAATTTAGCTGAATTTAAAAAGTTGATACGGTTGATTGGTAGTTTGGTACACCAACTTATATTTTAGGGCATGTGCAGTAGATGACACATTGATTAAAACATTTTTGGTTAAAACAAGAATTAATGTTTTCCTTTCGGTAGTCTTTTACACAGATAAATTATCCACTTTTGTTTTTCAATCACATGAAGAGTTTTTGAAGAAAAAAGTCATTTTCTCAAAAATTACCAACCAGTTTCAACGATTGTCTATCCTATTCCATAATAACTTATTAACCAAGAAACAACATTTTAGCTGACACCAAGCACTCCCAAATTGTGGAATCTGGAAATGTTCTTAAGAAGACTTGCTTCTTCGATTATGCGGGTTTCGTCAAGACAATTCTCCTGGTATCGTTCGTCGGAGCCGTGGCGTGTGTCTATCAATCAATCCAACCGCCACCGCCGAAAATCGTCGGCTCTCCCGACGGAGCCGCCGTGACAGCGTCGAGGATCAAACTGAGAGACGGAAGACATTTGGCTTATAAAGAATTCGGATACCCTAGAGACGAAGCCAAATTTAAGATCATATATATCCACGGCTTCGATTCTTGTATGCACGACTCGCCTTTCCCCTATTTCTTAATGCCGGTAAGTTTTCCGGCCAAATCCCTAATCACCCATTGGTCCACTCATCCATAGCATGTGAAAAGCTTAAACCTTTCGCAAAAATGTCATCATAGCTTTTCGATTCATAAAAAATGTCAAAGCTTCTGTCTTTGGTAAAGTAAAATGAGTTTAAAAAAATGCGTCTTTGTGCATATTACTGTTAGGCCCTTGTGGAAGAATTGAAGATATACACTGTGTCTTTTGACCGTCCTGGTTATGGAGAGAGTGATCCTGATCCGAATCGGTCACCGAGAAGCATAGCATTGGATATAGAAGAACTTGCTGATGGGTTAGGACTAGGACCTAAGTTCTATGTCTTTGGTCTCTCCATGGGTGGTGAAATCACATGGGCATGCCTTAAGTACATCCCTCACAGGTACTTGCAGTTGATGTGATGTGTTTGATTCAATTGATTCTTGAAAAAATACATTTGATCTTGAAACCATAGCTAAGTTGCGATATGACAGGCCTTTTTTGTTTTTGTTTGTGGACTCTCAGGTTAGCCGGAGCGGCGCTGGTGGCACCGGCGATTAACTACTGGTGGAGAAACTTACCGGGTGAGATAACAAGAGAAGCTTTCTCTCGAATGTATCCTGCGGATCAATGGGCTCTTCGAGTAGCTCACTATGCTCCTTGGCTTACATTTTGGTGGAACACTCAGAAGTGGTTCCCATTCTCCAATGTGATCTCGGGTAACCCCATCATTTTCTCCCGTCAGGACATGGAGGTCTTGTCTAAGCTCGGATTCGTCAGACCAAATCGGGTACAAGTACTTCTATAAATACATAGTTGGTTCGATTTGCTTTGGTTTTTCTGCGTTTGGTTATCATAAGTTTGAAGAAAATGATAATAATGATGTGTTGAGTCTTTGCATTTTGCAGGCATACACAAGACAACAGGGTGACTTCGAAAGCATACACCGAGATTTGAATGTTGGATTTTCAAGCTGGGAGTTTGATCCGTTAGACCTTCAAGATCCGTTCCCAAACAAGAATGGCTCGATTCACCTTTGGAATGGCGACGAGGATAAGTTTGTGCCAGTGAAGCTTCAGCGTTATATTGCATCAAAGCTTCCATGGATTCGTTACCATGAGATTTCTGGATCAGGACATTTGTTACCGCTTGTGGAAGGTATGACTGATAAGATCATCAAGTCCCTTTTGGAGGCAAGTGAGAGTAGAGGAGAAGCTTCTGCTTGAGTCACATTAGAATAAGTTATATAATTAATTGCTTGTATTGTTTTCAAAATATTCTTAGGCATATTTTCTGCTTGTTATAATAATGGCTACAAATATAATGATGAATGATAAAATTATTTTATAAAGTTTCGACTTTTGTAAAAGATTACAGATCAATAGATAATTAGAAATAACATCATATTAAGATATCATGAAGAAGGTAGCAAGTTGGATGATTAGCAATAATATAAGATCATTTTTCACATTTTCTTAAACCCATTAATGTTTAAAAGAAATTGGCATTTTCTAAAAAATAATTAAAATACCTTTGATTTTGAAACAATAGTTAAGTTACAATGTGAAAGCGATTAGCTTTTGACTGATGGCTGCGATGATTATATTGGTAGAGAAATTTACTGGATGAGATAACAAGAGAAGTTTTCTTCTCTAATATATCATACAGATCAATGGACTCTTCGAGTAGCTTCTGTTTGAGTTAATGTGATTTCATTTTCCAAAGATTAGTAAATTAATTGTTTCTACTATTTTAAAAATATTTCAAACATATTTTCTGCTTTTAATAGCTATCAAATAATGATTAACGACAAAAAAAAATTATAATAGTTATAGTTTCCAATTGTTTTGTAAAAGATAAGCTAGCGAATATATTTTTTTTTTTTAGAAAGTAATTTTTTTTTATTAAAAATGTTATTAAAAGTGTTGATCAATTAATTCATATCAACTAGATAGAAAATAAATTAAAGTTTGTTTTGATAACTTCAATAATGTTAGACCACCTCTATCCGCAAAAAACATATATCATCGTCTATTACCATTATATTATTAATATAAATTATTTATTTATTTAATATTTATAATACAAAAAGAATGGCCTAATAATAAATGGATAAATGTATAAAAACCTTTCAGAAACATTTCTCAAATAAGTAACTAGATTTTGGATCTACGCACTTGCGTGGTTCTTTTCATAAAATATTTTTGGACCATAGCAAAAAAGAGTTTATATTAAACTTTTGTTAAAAAAAATCAGCTTATATTATTAAATCCAAAATTAAGGTCCAAACTGAATTTTTTTATTAGATTATATAAACTATTTTTATATTTTTGGTTTTATGTTCTTAAAATTATTTAGACTTGATTTTATTAAAAAATATATATATTTTGATTAGCAGATTTTCTGTTAAGTTTTATAACAAATATTTCAAAATATTATATTTTATAATGCAAGATAGATTTCATTTGTTTGTAATTAAGATTTCATTTTTTACTTAGGCTTTGTTTGTTTTTGCATCTTGATATTTATTTAGATGCAAATGCTCAAATATTATTTTTTTAAACCAGTATATAGATATTGTATCTGGATACAAAATCTATAATATCTCAAAATTTGTATATTTAATATACTAGAAAAATAGAGTTTGAATGCAGCATTTGAATCTCAAAAATTAAAAGACTAAAACACCATTTAATTTAAACCACAAAATCAAGTTTTTTTTTTGTCAAAACCATAAAATCAGAGTTTTCTATCAAAATAAAAAGCCGTATTTTCCTACAAAATCTTAAAATCACGTTGTTGTACCAAAATCGGGAATTCCCATAGAAACTGTAAAAATTGCAGTTTCCATCAAACCGTATTTCTTGCCAAAACTGTAAACCCACATTTTTTAACAAACCAAAAATTATGTTCCAATACCATAAAACCGTATTCTTAGACCAAATTTCTAAAATACGTGTTTTTGTTAAACCTGCAAAAATTGCGCTTCTCGTCAAACTCGCAAATCTGCATTTTCAATAAAATCCATAAAATAATTTTTCCATCAAAACCTATAAAACCCACAAAAAAATGTAAACCTCGCAAAATCATGTTTCCCGTTAAATCCACAAACTCATGTTTCCCGTAAACTCATGATAGAAATTCTGTAAAATCGTGTTTTATGACAAAATTTCTAAACTCATGTGTTTATGCCAAACCTGCAAAATCAAGTTTCCAAACACACAAATCCGCATTTTCCCATATGACTACATATTCCCGCTAAAATCTGGAAAACCCATAAAATCCGCAAAATTGCATTATTCGCATTCTGCAAACCCGTGTTTTCTGTAATTCTTCTAAATCTGCAAAATCGTGATTTACGATCAAATTTCTAAAATCATGTGTTTCTGCTAAATCTACAAAAACACATTTTTTGTCAAACTAGCATTTTCTCGTAAAAATATATGGATGCTACAACTTATAAAATCCGCTAAAACTTATAAAATCCGTAAATCTACAAAATTGTGTTTGTCAAATCTGCAAATCCATAGCTTCCCGCAAAAAATCATTAATAAACCATATGTAACCAGAAATATTGATTACATATTCATTATTGACCATAAATTGTCACAATTAGTAAATATCATAGTAGGTTTTAGATACTTTAAACTAGTGATTTTCTATTTATAGTATAGAGAAAAAATTAATTATAATATAATATATATAATTATATTAGTTATTCATGCCATATATATGTGGTAATTATGTTAAGATATTACGAAAGATTTTAAAATAATTTTGAAATTAAATTAATTTGAATTTTATTAGTAGCAGATATAACTTATTGATATTTTCTGTTAACAAACTAATTTAATTTAATTTAATTTAATGTATTTGTTAACAGCTTAATGATAAGACAAATTATCCTTAATGAATTTATTAAATTTTTTAGTGAATCCAATGGCACATTTAGTAAATACCATAGTAGCTTTTGGACATTTCAAATTAATCATTCTCTTTTAATAGTATAGATGTAAGAAACGTATCTAGTTTCTCTCTTTTTTTTTTTTTTTATTCTTAAGATACCCTCTGTCCGGGAGCAAATTTCGGGATGCCACGTAGGGGTGTATGATTCGTCTAGTGGAGCTGTGTTTCCGAGTTTCGTCCTCTGGGGGAAAGGCGACGAGTCATTCCGGGGTGGAAGTCTTCGCATGCCGTGGTGACGGGGCGGTCATAGTACGTAATCATGTAAACACTCAAAGGGAGGTCAATCGGGCCTCTGGGAAGACTGAAATGGGGTTTTCCTCCCAAAGGTTCTTCGACGCCCAAGTCAATGAACGCCCTACCAGGAAAAAATACTCAAGAGGGGTGTTTCTACAGATTTTAGTGAGAAGTCTCGTCCAAAGATCGAGACATATGTCTGTTTTCGGGTGTTTCGAAGGGGTTTCTACACAATAGAAAGAAGATGGAGCAAGTATGAAGGCAGGGTTAAGAAGGACTTATCCTGAAAGGCATTCACCTGGTGGAACATGAAGTTCTCTCGTGATCGTGCTGCATGCCAGAGCCGACTGATTTGGATACAAGTGGTTACCTCTTCTTCTAGAGGGGTTTTCTGAATCCGACCAATCGATCTCCTTCTTTGTGGTGATCTCCTTCTTTTTATACTCGTGGTCTCTTTCTCCTGTCTTTTTTTGTCCGACGCGCCAGGGAAGTAGGTAGGGGTAATGATTCTTACGTGTTCGGAGAAGCTCGCCAACTACTCCAGAATAGTGCTCGGGAGTGGTTTACATAGCTAGTCTGGCGCGTATCAGTATTTAAGGCAGTTTGCCATCCACGTATCAAGCTCGTACTTAGGCATGGTAAAATCGATCCTAACACCTTCTTAAGATATATCAATAGAGGTGCTCTTATAAAACGAGACGCAAGACTCCTTACTCCATATATCTTTTTTTAATAAGTTTTGTGTATTTCTTTTTTTTCTCTTGAGTTCAATAAAGTTTTTTATATCGAAGTTTTATTCATTTTTAAATTTGAACATATTCAGTTTTTAAACTATTTAAATAATTTAATATATAAAAAACTGACATAAATTTTTTTTAGTATTTTCTAAAATTATATATATGAATAAGGAAGAGTCCTACCGGCCTTCTGCCACGTCAGCACAAAAAACATGACACATGGCATCAATTTTATTTAAAAACCAATAAGCAAGCTCACATCAAAAGACAAGGTGTTGACACGTGTCCTTAAAAATATCAAAACGTTAAATCACCGTAATTATATTTGTTCGATTCAACCATTTTCCGACTCTTTGGCTTCTACATTTACAGTTTCAAATAAGTGAAGCATCTCTCCAACATCTTCTCTATTAGAATGATAGTTCATCTTCTCTTCAGATCTTATAGTAAACCCCATTTTTCCTTCCTAGAAAAGATATTGGTGACAGTCGAGAGAAACAACACCTCAAATTACATCGGTCGGCTTCACCTGGGTGGAGACTCCAGCCTCTTTCAGTCTTTCCTTCTGTCATACTTTCAATCTCTAATTCTGCTTTTGTCATAATCGTGCGCCAGCAGGAAAATTAGAGACCTTCCATTTTCTCCATCACAATCTCTCGCCAGTCACCACCTACTCTCCTTACATCAGATTGTCTATAGAATGTTCTACCCTTTTTTTTGTTTCTTAGCGCAAATTGTCTTCATCACTACATGAATTAGACTCATTCGAATTTCTGCAGATTGATAGATCGAATTTCACAAACTAAATCGAATCTTCTCTTAATCTGTTTGTTTTGGAAATTTTTGATTTGCTTTGTGATTTTGTGATTTTTGAACATAAGGTTAATATGTTACAAGAGAAGTTAAACTCGGCATCAAGAAGCTAACCGAAATGCTAGCCAGAGTCTGAGAAGCTCAATCGGAAGAGTCCTCAAAATGAAAACTTTCAGAACAAACATCTCACGAGGAAACGAAAGAAGGACGCTCCCCAATCAGACTCAGTTGTGAACAACAAAGGATATATCTTCCGACAAAGCAGTGGTTTGAACTTTGAACCACCTATTATTCTGCTGATATGTCCGACCAAACTTGGTAAGTGTTTGTGTGTTCTATATTGTATTTTGACTTGGAAGCCTTTTCATATATAAATAAATAATATATGAAAAGAAACCCGCACATATGCATAGATATTGATCTAGTATAAAATGAAAATACCTTTGATCTTAACACAATAGTTAAACTAAAATGTGAAGCCGTTTGACTTTGGATTGGTGGCTACAATGATTACTGGTGGATAAATTTGCTGGATGAGATAACAAAAGAAGCTTTCTCTCTAATGTATCTTGCAGATCAATGTACTCTTCAAGTAGCTTCTGCTCGAGTCAATGTGGTTTACAGACTC